TTGGATTCTTTACAATTGCAATCAAAATCTGTTTGATATTCAATACAAAGTTTATAAGAATTAAATTATAATGATTATTCTCTCACCAGAATAGTCGCCCTCTTTTGGGATAACTTTTTGATTATATGAGGAATGGTATGTTAAATGAACAGTGAATGTCTTAGTTTTAATTTACTGCCGGGAGATGATTGCCATATGGTATAGAAATATACTAGCACTGAATGTGTGACTTTATTTAATCAACAAAAGTGTTACTCATATCTAAACGTAAATCACTTTTTAAAATAAATATGTGATAAGAATTTCTCATTTAGATTCTTGATAATCTATTCACGAGTAGTATTGAAGTAGATATTTCATGTTTTGTGATAATTGAAAATTCATGTTTAACCTTAAGATTGTGATTTTATGGAGGAATTGGATACCAGTGAATGGTGTAAGGTTAATCTAATCGTGTACATAATTTTATAATTTGTTGAATAACGAATTTAATTCGTAATTGATTTAAATATCACAATAATCAATATTTTTAAATAAATATTTGATAAGCATTTAGATTTAAATTCCACTTTTTATACCCTGTATTCAATATTCAATTTATTTATTTATAAGTTAATTTTAATTGACTGAAACTAACAGTAATTCTCATTACTTTAAAATAGTTTTTGCTATAGATTATAGAATATTCTATAGTATAGGATCTATATTATAATTAATAAATGTAAATGACAATATTTTCAGATCTTTATAAGAATTTAATTTTATCATCCCATTTTTAATTGACAAAATATAAAAGTTATATTTTAGCATTTAAAATTTATTACACCCTGATACAGTATTTAGATAATGACAGTATTAAGCACATATTTAGTAATCACTTGAGTCCCCGCACGACTTAAACTCTGGAAGTGTTTGAGTGATTCATATGTTTAATAGTAATAAATCACTCGTTTAGTTGTGTGGACACAGATCCGCCAATTGTAGCAATTGATTGCCATCGAGTCGGAAGATAATACCCTGGTCATCGCCGTTTGTCAGATCAGTTGCACCAACTTTGTTGTAGAAGGAAATGGATCTATCATTCCATGAGAGACAGTCCCACTCGAAACGTTGGCAGCCATTCATTATCGCCTGTTTAGCTATCCGTGCCATAAGCGCCACTCCCACACCTATGCCCCGGTATTCTTGCTTGACATACAGGTTCTCCATCCAAACTCCCCTCGCACTCGATGCCGCGTACTTCGGGTAATAAAAGACTAAACCTATTAGTTGTTTGTCGTTATCATTGAGATGTGCGACAAATGCGCGGAACTGTCGGTCCGTTGGGTCACCGAATCCGTCCACTTCTAACTGCTTGTGTCCGACCACTTGTTCCGGTGATAGTCTATGATATGCGGCCGACTCTGCCAACAATAGTGGCATTTGTTTGCAGTCCTCTCGATGGCCTTCCCTTATAGTGAACATTGGTTTCTGGATTTCTTGACTAACAAAGTAATAGTTGTTGTAATTTAATAGTTCATTATAAGAGCGATAAGAATTTGAGTATAACTTTGTTTAAATCGATAAAAGGGCACATTTAAATCTATCAGACATTTCAAATAATTTATTACAATTAAGTACTCATATAATCACATAATCAGTGTATTGTTTATCAGACTATCAGTATCTAGAAGTGATTAACAGCTCTTACAGGCATCGGTCGGCCATTTGTTTCAATTGTTTGCTGTCGAGTCGGAATTCCTGTATTTTGAGATGAGTGTCCGACAGATTAATGGCCCCCAACTTCTTGTAGAAGGAAATGGATTTTTCATTCCACGCCAAACACCCCCATTCCAGACGATTACTGCCCTCCAAAACTGTCTGTTTAGCCACCCGTGCCATAAGAGCCAGTCCCACGCCAGTGCCCCGATATTCTGGTGTGACATACAGGTCCTCCAACCAGACCCCCCTCCCAGTCCAACCCGAGTACTTCGGGTAATACAACGCGACACCAATGAGTTGTTTGTCGTTATCATTGAGATGTGCGACAAATGTGCGGAATTGTCGGTCCGTTGGGTCACCGAAAGAGTCGGCCTCTAACTGGTCGGGTCCGGCCATTGGATGATCCGGTGGTCTCTTTGAATAGTCGGCCAGTCCTCTGAACAGTTGTGCTATTTGTTGGCAGTCCTCTGGACGGCCTTCCCTTATAGTGAACATTGGGTTGTCTGTCGTTTGCAAATGCAATCAAAATCTGTTTGATATTCAATACACAATTTATTGTAAGTTATTAATTGCTGACTACAATAATGGCTCACTTTTTGTTGGATAACTTTGCAAAAGTTTGCGATTGTTTTGGGAATGGGATGTCAAGTGAATACTATTGATTCAATAGTATTGAATAGTGAAGGTCTCGGGTTTTGAATTACTTGGTTTTGTATTGAATAATTGATTGCAACTTGGTGTACAGTACGGCGCACGGATCCCTACGAGACTGAAAGAGTAGGTGTGATATATAAGACATAAGCCCCTCCCATTACAACTCAGCACACGTGCGTTATATACACATATTCTCGTTATAATATACCAATAACTACTCTAAAACTAATGCTTTATTAGCTTTATTATTACAATAATATAAATAACTTCTTTACGCGCGAATCCACTGCAAGCCAGAGACGTGTCCAACTCTTGAAGGACTTCGTAATGCAATTCATTGATCACCTATTCATATGTGTCTATAATTGTGTCCACAATTTATCTGTGTCTGTATATGAATGCTGAGTGTTTGTCACAAGGGTTCAAAACATTCACTCATTTGGAGATCACTTGCCGTTCAATACATTCAATACTTGCCATCAGTTTTGCAAATAATGTCCGGAAGAGGAAAAGGAGGAAAAGTCAAGTCGAAGGCAAAGTCCAGGTCATCCCGAGCAGGACTCCAGTTCCCGTCGGACGTATCCATCGTCTGCTCCGCAAAGGTATGTCTTCTCTCACGTGTGGTGTATACGACACGACTGACCACTCCATCCCTTTCCTATTGCAGGCAACTATGCCGAGCGCGTGGGTGCCGGCGCTCCCGTCTATTTGGCGGCAGTGCTTGAGTACTTGGCCGCTGAGGTGCTCGAGTTGGCCGGAAATGCCGCGAGAGATAACAAGAAGATCCGTATTATCCCCCGTCATCTGCAACTCGCCATCAGAAACGACGAGGAGTTGAATAAACTGCTGTCCGGTGTGACCATCGCTCAGGGAAACGTTCTATCCAACATTCAGGCCTTACTCCTGCCCAAGAAGACCGAGAAGAAGGCCTTCGCACCACTCATCACAAACGGTTCATCTTAGGGCCAATCACTCAATGCATCTGAGGTTCAGTTCTTGTCGTGTTCGTCACTTTTGAATTAGTTTTCATTGTTTTTAATAAAGTTTGTATCATTCATTGGGTTTACTGAATGTTGTGATATTTGGTATGCTATGAAAAGTATAGATATTATTGTCTCATATGTATTGTGATTTACCAATTGATTGTTCTTAAGACCAATCACTCAATGCATTTGAGGATCACTTGTCGTCTCTTTCACTCAACAACTCTTGAATTTCTCATTTGTCTGTTTTTGTCAATAAATCATTTCATAAACCATTTATTATTAATGTATTTATTCTTATATTTTTGACAATAAATTATTTTTGATTGAATTATTATGTATTATTTAATTATTCATCTGTTATTTCGGTTCGTTTTATGTGTTCCACATGACGGCCACCCGTTTGCTTTGCGAGTTTCATCCTTTTAATGAAAGACTTTCGTGTGTTTCTTAACATTTTTGGGGTAATCAATTGAAACCCTCTTTCAATTGACTGTTTCAACTCATTCGTGTCCTTATTAGTTACTTTGTAAACTTCATCTAAAATAATAATTTTATGTATGAAAAGAAATTTATTATTAATTTTCAAATCATGACTTAACTTTAAGTAATATAGATTAATAAAATAACTAGTGTTGAATCAAATGCTTTAAAATGCAAAGTTGTTACAACTTACTCTCAACGAAGCCCCATACAAAAAAGTCAAGTGTGTTGAAGTCGGGACACCTTGCGGGCCAACGTCTTAATGGACTCCCACGCCCTATCCACCTCATCGGGAAATGATAGTTTAACCATGCTCTGGTTTCGAGGGCGTAGTGCGAAGAAGCACCGTCCAAAACAAACACCATTTTATCAAAGTTTGGCAACTTTTTAATAACGGGCAAAACCTGTAAATTAGATATAATTAACATTTTATTTCAATTAAAATTAATTATGTATTTTTTGATCATTTAATTGATTAATAAATGTTTAACGCAAACGATATATGATTTTGTATTTTATTTAAGCGGTTATAATGGACAGCCGGTCAATGTATAGGTAGTTTGGGTGACTGTGCGGTCCGTATCATATCAGAGCTATTGATGGCAAGGAAAGGGAGGTTTGGGATAATACTCACTTCATTGTCCATCATTTCGGTAAACGTATTGCCTTTCACAGTATCTTTAAAATAAAACGGTCCGATTATGTGGTCACCAAAAGTGGCCCCCCAAACCATAACTCTGTCACCACTCATAGACTTAACGGGGGCAATCCAGTGGGGGTTAGTTTCGGCCCAATAGCGATTGGTTTGCTTATTAAAACGCCCGTTAACGTGAAATAGCTTTTCATCACAGAATAACATGATTTTAACAAATTGTGAATTTGAATCAATTTGCTGTAAAATCCATTCAGCAAATTCCAGTCTTTGTTTAAAATCTGGACCTAAAATAAGTCAAATATCCATTGGTTAGTTATTCAAGTTTAGGCCTTTTGGGTTAGTCCCATATAAAAGTGGTTACCTTTTAAATCCTGAACAAATTGAACTTTGTAAGGATGATATCGGTGTTCGTTCAGAATTCTAGTAACTGATGATTTGCTTATACCACAATGTGAACCACAGACTCTTGGCGATTGAATTGGTTGCACATGATATTCACCCAAAACGACAGTTTTCAAATCATCGTTTGTGGCAGGTTTTGGATAAATCTTTTTATTGTCCAAGACATTACCTAAATTTAAAAAACATTACAATTATTAATGTTATATATCGGTGGGCCCGTGCAGAATAATTCTTAGAAATACACATTTCAAACTAATTTTGTCAAACTTTATTGTTCAATACCTTTGTTTATCCACAAATCAAAAATACGTTTCATTGTTTTATCAGTTGGATGTCTCTCCCAATCAGGATATATCCATTTGATTGCCTTTGCCGCCGAAGCCCACGACGTTGATTGATTGCAAATATTAACAATTTGTATTCGTTTTTCTTGAGAATAAAATTTATAAATCTTTTCGTTTAATTGATTTTCTAAACATTCATTATTCTCATCATTTTCATCGTCTGAATTGTAGGCAATTGTGATTTGAGTGGTCAATCTTCGCGGCGTTGGCGGGGTTTTCACCAAATTCTTGTATTTGTCTGAATTATCATTGATTTCCTCATCACTCGAATGACAATTGTATTCATCGTCTAATAGTTCCGTGTTTTCAGAATCCATTAGTCTATCGGTTCTCATGATCTCCCGAACAATTGATTTGTCGCCCATTTGTTCGCTATTTTTGTGGCGAATGTTATCGTTATGGTCGATATCGGTCACAACTTTGCCGTCGAGTCCAATGATTTTAATCATCCGTTTCGTGGTATTTGTTTGGCTATTATTTTGTGATCTTCTCTTTAATTCACTTATGATTTGACTCTTAATTGAATCGCTTTTCTCTCCATTCGTACCATTAGTCTCTTCGTCAATGTCTTCATTATTGTTGCCATCATTTCCATCAACACTCTGTCCATCAATTATCATTTCATTTGATACGTAATTAATATCGCAATCAATGCCTTCGGACTCATTGTCTGATTGTATGACTTCTTCGGCAATCAATCTATTGGTGTCTTGTGTTTCATGTCTTGTAATAATGGTTTCCCTTTTGATTATCAACTGATCCACGGATTCATCGCGTGTTTGACAACCGATTGAAACAAACCTTTGATTGAAAACTGAAAACAAAATTAAAATTGCATTTAATTGCATTGAAAATTCAAAATACTTTTCATTTAACAAATGACTTACGGTTTGAGATATCATTAAGTATTTTATCACTTTTAGACGGCGGTGGAGCCGAGGACTGGAAAATGGGCAGCAGATGAGTGGCCGGTGTTATGATGTGATACCTGTTGGCCGACGAGTGGTTTGTCTGATTCGAGTCGTAGTTATGGCTGTATTGCGATGAAATGAGTGGCAATGAATGCGATTGTTGTGGCGATGGGTTGTTGATTGCGTTGTGAGACTGACTGGTGTTGTGCTGAACGATGACACTGTTATGCTGTCCACCGGCCGACCCATTGCTCAACGATAATAAGATATTGGCCGCCTCTGTGGTGTCGGGTTGACCTGTTGTTCCCGATGATTGTGTTGGCGTGTGTTTTATTTGATTGCCATTTTGGTGTCTAAAACAAAACCCATGTCTTTGCAACTCTTTGGTGCAGCCGTCGCGCGAACACAGTCTCCGCCACTGCTTCCCATTGAACTTCTTCCTGATCCCATTGGGCGCCGAAACTATATCTCCATTTTTATACTTGTTAGGAGTGGCGGGAACCGATGGTGTGGTTACAGGGATGACTGGTTGTTGTGCGAGCGATGCCATCGTTATAACGCTGATCACATTCGGTGAGTACGTGGGCTGGTGTTGGCCAACAATTGCTGAATTACTCGAGTAGTGTTGGACACCATTTGTGCGGTCAAAGACATCAATACCATTCATATTGATTATTTTAATTAAAGTTATGCAACAAATAACTCATTTTATTACACAAAATCACACAAATAATAGTATAAAGTTTTGCAAAGTTTTTTACAGTTTTAGAGTACAGTTATGCGCATATTATAACGAGAATAAGTGTAATAATGTGTGTGAAGGAGGGGCTCAATTACTATTAGTGTGACATGTGATCTCGTAGTGGTCCTTGACGTGTACTGTATTATATACTCGCACTGAATGTATGATTGCATTAAAGCAACAAAAGTGTAACTCATTTAAACGTAAATCACTTTAAAATAAATATGTGATAAGAATTTAGATTCTTGATTAGTATTATTATATCTATTCACACGATGTAGATGTAAAATGAATATTTCTTTAACTTTTTAATGTCCCTGATAATATTTCTTTAGATTCATATGTGTGATGTACTCTATTATTTTGATGTGAAATTCAATTTACTGTTATTTTGACCACAAATTTGTTTTAATTTGTCACTAAAACAAAAACTATGCTTAAAGTCTATAACTTTCGCTTAAATATCATGCAATTTATTGTTAATATATCGCTATATAAAACATTTTATTAAAATTTTAAAACAAGATTAACAGACAATGAAAGTATAGTCTGAATCCATAATCACTATTAAAACTTCTTTTGGAAGTCATTATTGAAGGTCTCATTGAAGGCATTTGTCGGCCAATTGTGTCAATGCGTTGCCATCGAGTCGGAAGACAATACACATGTCCTCACTGTGTGTCAAGTTAGTGGCGCCCACTTTGGTGGACAAGGAAATGGATCTATCATTCCATGAGAGACAGTCCCACTCGAAACGTGTGCAGGCAGTCGTTATGGCTTGTTTAGCCACCCGTGCCATAAGCGCCACTTCCACACCTGTGCCCCGGTATTCTTGCTTGACATACAGGTGTTCCATCCAGACTCCCCTCGCAGTCGATGCCGCGTACTTCGGGTAATATAAGGCCAAACCTATGAGTTGTTTGTCGTTGTCGTCGAGATGTGCGACAAATGTGCGGAACTGTATGTCCGTTGGGTCACTGAATCCGTCCACTTCTAATTGCTTGTGTCCGACCACTTGATCCGGTGATTGTCTCTGATATGCGGCCAACTCTGCCAACAATAGTGCAATTTGTTGGCAGTCCTCTCGACGGCCTTCCCTTATAGTGAACATTGGTTTCTGGGTTTGCATTCTTTGCAAATAATTATAGTTTAACAGACTATCAGTATCTGTAAGTGTTTAACAGGTCTTATGAGAGCTCTTACGGGCATCGGTCGGCCATTTGTTTCAATTGGTTGCCATTGAGTCTGAATTCCTGTGTCTTGAGACCAGTGTCCGACATATCAATGGCGCCCAACTTCTTGTAAAAGGAAATGGCTTTCTCATTCCACGCAAAACACCACCACTCTATTCGGTTACTGCCAACGGAAATAGTTTGTTCAGCTACCCGTGCCATTAGAGCCAGTCCCACACCAGTGCCTCGATATTCTGGTACGACATAGAGGTCTTCCAGCCATAGTCCCCTCCCAGACCAGGCCGAGTACTTCGGGTAATACAACGCAACGCCAATGAGTTTANCACTCTATTCGGTTACTGCCAACGGAAATAGTTTGTTCAGCTACCCGTGCCATTAGAGCCAGTCCCACACCAGTGCCTCGATATTCTGGTACGACATAGAGGTCTTCCAGCCATAGTCCCCTCCCAGACCAGGCCGAGTACTTCGGGTAATACAACGCAACGCCAATGAGTTTATTGTCGTTATCGATGGGATGTACGACAAATGTGCGGAACTGCCTGTCCGTTGGATCACCGAAAGAGTCGGCCTCTAACTGGTCGGGTCCGACCACTGGATGATCCGGTGGTCTCTTTGCAGTGTCGGCCAACCCTCTCATCAAATTAGTGATTAACTCTTGTTTTATCATATATTTTACATTTATACTGTATTCAAAACCTTGATATTTTGGCTAAAATTTATACTGTATGCCCTTATTATACTTTGTGGTATAAGGGCCACAAACATCAAAAAATAAACCAGAATTTCATTCATAACCCTCTCATCAGTTGTGTTATTTGTTGGCAATCCTCTCGACGCCCTTCCCTTATAGTGAACATTGGGATGTCGTTTGGATTTTTGCAAATGCTATCAAAATCTGTTTGATATTCAATTCAAACTTTATGAGTTATAATGACCAGAATAATGGCTCACTTTACCTTATATTATACCTTTTCAAAAGTTTGTTTTTTTTGGGGGGATGTGATGTGATGTCAAGTGAATACTATTCAATCAATGATTTTAAATGACTGTTTTGTATAAAGTAATTGATTGCAATTTGGTGTACACTCGTACTGAATGTATGATTGCATTAAGCCAAAAAAATTCTTACTCATATCTATATGTAAATCATTTTTTAACATAAATATGTGATAAGAATTTTTAATTCAATTCTTTATTTTCATTATATACCCTCATGATGTAGATGTAAAATGAATATTTTCTTTAACTTTTTAATATCTCTGATAATATTTCTCTAGATTCTTATGTGTGATGTAATCTATTATTTTGATGTGAAATTCAATTTTGGATTTACTGTCATTTCGACCACAATTTGTTTTAATTTAGCTAAAAATGATAAAACAATTTATCAACAAAAACATAAATTATTTTTAAATTCTATAACTTTCGCACAATTATGCCATTAATGGTTTATTATCGCTATCTTAAAACATGATTAACAGATAATAAAAGTATAGTCTGAATCCATAATCACTATTAAAACTGCTTCTGGAAGTGATTGAGAGGTCTTATTGAAGACATTTGTCGGCTAATTGTGTCAATGCGTTGCCATCGAGTCGGAAGATAATAGTCTCGCGTTTGGTGTCCACGTGAACGGCGCCCAACTTCTTGTAAAAACGAATAGCCCTCTCATTCCATGTCAGACACTCCCACTCGAGTAGGCCACAGCCCTCCCGGAGCAGCCGTTTAGCTAACTGTGCCATAAGTGCCGTACCGACACCGGCGCCCCTATGCCCTTGTTTGACGTACATGGCCTCCACCCAGACACCCTTCCCCTCCCACGTCGAGTACTTATAGAAGTAGAGGGCGAACCCTATGATGTCGGAGGTGTCGGTGCGTTGGGCCACAAACGTGCGGAACAGGGGATCGCCGGTGCGGTCGAAGCCGTCCTCCTCCAACACTTTGTGGTCTATTCGCATCTTGTGGTCCGGGATCTTCTCATAGACGTCCAGCTCTCGGATCATACCCTCAATGGCTACACAGTCCTCGCGAGCGCCGCGTCTTATGGCAAACATAGTGTTTCTTAAGTGAGAGTTTTGGGAACAGTTGGTGTGATATCGCAGACTAACTTTTGAATAGTTTTTTGTTGTTGAATAAACACACTTTGTGTACATAACTCCCTATTAAACATACTATACACCATACCTAATCCCTACAGGAAGTTTTAGTACACTAACAACATAGATAATATACTATTAACATTGTAACCTAACAGCATTGGATTCTTTACAATTGCAATCAAAATCTGTTTGATATTCAATACAATGTTTATGAGAATTAAATTATAATGATTATTCTCTCACCAGAATAGTCGTCTCCTTTTAGGATAACATTTCGATTATATGAGGAATGGTATGTTAAATGAACAGTGAAAGTCTTAACTTAGTTTTAATTTACATTTTATTTAATTTAGTAGATGATTGCCATTTGGTTTAGAAATATGTGACTTTATTAAGTCAACAAATTATTTATGAATTAATCGCTTAAAAACACAATTGACTTAAACCTTAAACTTATATAAAAATAAATTCTTGACTGGAATTCAATTGAACAAACATTTAGTGATAATTAGGTCTAACAGTGAGTCCGCAATCATTGAGCTGTCGGTGTCTGATCGTCGGCCACCAATCGCTGGCACTGTTGGCCGGTTAGTCGAAAGGTGTTCCAACCCTCCAGTTCCGTCAGATTCACGCCATTCAACTTCTTGTAGAACTGTATGGAACTGGTGTTCCAGTCCAAGCAGTTCCACTCCAATCGCTCGCACCCCTCATCGGCCGTCTGTTTGGCCACAGCCTTAAACAGTGCCAGACCTACGCCCGACCCCCTATGCTCTGGCTTGACGTACAGGTCCTCCATCCAGACACCCTTCCCCTCCCACGTCGAGTACTTATAGAAGTAGAGGGCGAACCCTATGATGTCGGAGGTGTCGGTGCGTTGGGCCACAAACGTGCGGAACAAGGGATCGCCGGCGCGGTCGAAGCCGTCCTCCTCCAGCACTTTGTGGTCTATTCGCGGGCCGTCCGGCATCTTCTCATAGACGGCCAGCTCTCGGATCATACCCTCAATGGCCGCACAGTCCTCGCGAGCGCCGCGTCTTATGGCAAACATAGTGTGTCTTAAGTGAGAGTTTTGGGAACAGTTGGTGTGATATCGCAGACAAACTTTTGAATAGTTTTTTTGTTGTACTTATTTGTGTGAAACACATGTATTGAGGGATAATTTGTATGATATGTGGTGTGGATTAGGGATGTCCTTCAAAAACATATGATTTTTGTATCTTCTCTTAGAACTAACAGATGTCATCCAAACCAAGAATATCTGGAATCGATTCCGTGTCCACAGGTATGCTATTTTGAAATTCTTGTATACTTTAATGTTTGAGTTAATTATTTGCAATATTAGGCGACAGACAGAC